GCCCCGGTGATGGGGGGCGGGGCTGGGGTCGGGGGTGGGGGGGGCAGACCTCTGCGGCAGTCCCTGGCAGGCAGCTCGTCCCAGCCCTGGACAGCGACTGCTCCAGCCCTGGCTCCGGCACCCCCCACATCCCCCCACCCGGAGCCCGCCGGCCTCTCACCTATTTCATAGTTTCATAGCAGCTAGGGTCAGGAGGGACCTGAACAGACCATCTAGTCTGACCCCTGGCACAGGCAGGAATCATAGTATCATATGAGTGATATGAGTGCACGCCGGCACTCACGCACCACTTGTGGGAAACGCACAGAGCTGTTGTCCTGCATCTCTTCAATCAGTCGGTGGAAAGGGATGGGGAGGGGTGCTGCTGCACAATATACACACCAGTACACACGCCCACACCCCCCGTGCTCCGCCCCACAGCTGACGTCACGAGCTAGTTAGCAGCAAACGTAACTATGCAGAGGCTGGCTCAGCACCCCCCAGCCCTACCAGTGCCCCCAATCCCAACCCGCAGCCCCTGCCCCCACCACTCACTTGCTTTTTCCGATCGGGGGGATCTCCCTGGCCCGCCCACCTTGTGCGGGGTGCCCCCAGCCTCGCCAGCCTGGGGTCCTGCCCACCGGTCGCCCGGCCGGCTCCGCGCTGTCCGGTGCCCAGGGGGCGAACGCGAGGTCCCGGCTCTGCCTTTCATGCCTGGCGGTAGCCGCAGTTCCCCTGCTCTGTCCCCGGTGTGCTAGCCCCGTCGCCCTGCCCTGTCGGCGGCCCCGTATTACTGGGTAGCAGGGCTCCGACTCGGGCCCGTCGCAGCGCCCGTGCAGGGCAGCAATAAGAGAGGAAAGGGCACGTACACAAACCCGGCAGATCTCTCGGACCAGGCCACCCTTCGATCCGAAACCTGTGATTGCTGAGAAGCAGGAACCGGGCTGCGAAACCTCTCCTTGCCTTCAGCGGATGCGGGCATGGTGGGAAGGATCGGGAGAGTAAGCCGTGTCTCTGCACAGCTGCTCTTCCCCCGAACGGCAAAACCTCCCGCTCAAGCCCGCGCCGACGTGACTGCGCCGCGAGCAGCGAGACGGGCACGCACGAGGCACCGGCGCGTGCCGGCCAGGCGGAGTGGGTCCTGGGTGTAATGCACCTCTGGGCCCTTCTCCTCCCTGACACTCGCCCCTCAGGATTACGTAGCACCTATGCTGGGCTTCCTCTTGCTTTCCTGGTTCATCATACTGCATTTTTAGATACGCTCGGTTGTGCGCTGTCTCCATCTCGCTGGGCCATGCTTGAGTCCAGGCAGAGTTTTCCTGTTGTTGTTTGCCGTGTGCTGGGAATTGCAAACCGCTGTCCTCGACGGGCTCTCTGCAGAGGTTGGGCTGGTTTTCTTCGAGCTTCCAGAAAAAAAAAAACCCCAGCACAGCATTGTCGGCTGCTCAGGCCTTGGTGGGAGTGGGGTTTCTGGGTGGGTGCAGACAGAGCGGGACATCAACGCGAGAAGCCACCGTGGAGCTAAGCAAAGCATCACCGTCTACACGTGCGGTGCCATTAGGCCGGAGTAAACGACTTAGCTCCAGCATGGGATGGTGCGGCCCATCACAAGTACTACCCTACAGTGAACAATTGTTCCAACTATTTAGTTGATTTAATAAAAGATATCAGCTTCACTCAAAGAACCTGGTCTGCCCGTGTCCTTAGATCAACACGGCTACAACCGACACATGCAATGGCAGAGTTATTTTCTGTCCTGTACACACACACGGGCCTGCCCGGGGCTACTCAGGTCACCCCAGGCCCTGTGAAGGAGCCTGGGCACGAGGCTGGACCTGACCCTTGGGCACTAAATCTGGGGCCACCCCAGGAAGGTTTCCACCCACAATTGCCAGTTTGAACCCATCTCTCCCAGCCCAGGGGATGAGGACCTGTGGAAAACAACTCAGGGATGACAATGGGAGGAAGGAAATGGCACAGCAGGTGAAGAGAAGCGGCCACCGCTCTTGTATCTGGCACATGGTCAGCACCAGCTTCATGGATACACAGACGTCCCTGCTAATGGCGGTGACAGGAGCGGTCTCGTTGTTCATAAGTTCAGGAATCTGAGTGAGCGGCTGCAGATGGTGGTGGCGGGGGCCTCTCTCCCCTTGCTGGGCCAGCTGGGACCTCTGGACCTCCCCTTAGTGCAGGGGTGCCCAATTTATGGCCCACAGGCTGGATCCAGTCCACTGAGGGACTTTTCCTGGCCTGTAGTGGGTCTCTCAGTCCCCCAGTCCTGCTGGTGCCCCCCACTCCCAACCTGCAGCCCCTGCCCTCCCAACCTTTGTGCTTAGATTGCACCTGGTGGGTGCAAATGGGGAAATACTGTTCCTGACTGAAAATGAATCTGAAAGCTGGCTCTCTAAGTATAGCTTACGGGAAAGAAGAGTTGGAGAGTGCCCCCACCTCGAGACAGGGAATTCCAGTTAAGGGTGAGTCTATTGGCAAAGAGAAGCACCATTATGAATATGCATTAGGAGGAAGGTTGAAGCTAATTTCATGCGTTAGGAAAGGTAAGCTATCTGGTATATGAAGAGGGGAGAGAGGACCTAGGGCTAAAAGATCTGGTCGCTGATCCGAGATTCAGAACTCAGACGAAGAAGCCGGGAACCCCGGACAAGACCTCACGGCCCGGCTGTCCAGCAACGGCACATGCATTATCTCTCGGGGTGGTGAGCATGCTGTATCGAGCAACTACTCGAGTAGAATTGGAACGGCTAAGGGCTTTCTTATTGGTTAAAGAGCTTGTTAAAATTAGTTATGGGTTATTGAGTGCCCGTGTCCTAGTCTTGAATTAACACCGGACGATATAGCAAGAAATCTTTTTTTTTTTTTTTGCCTGCCCCCCACCCCCAATGTTTGATAGTTTAGTTTCACAGTTGGTCGGGTCGGAAGGGACCTGAGCAGATCATCAAGCCCGACCCCCTGCCCTGGCAGGAAAGAGCACTGGGGTCAAACGACCCCGGCAAGGTGTTCATCCAGCCTCCTCTTGAAGACCCCCAGGGTAGGAGCCAGCACTTCTCTTGGAAGTTGGTTCCAGATCCTAGCCGCCCTGAGAGTGAAGTCGCGCCTCCTGATGTCTAGCCTGAATCTACCCTCTGCCAGCTTGTGACCACTATTTCTAGTCACTCCTGGGAGTGCTCGGGGGAACAGGGACCCCCCGACTGGTTTGTAACAGGCCACCAGATCCCCCCTCAGCCTTCTCTTGTGGAGGCTGAACAGGTTCAGGTCCCATCGCCTCTCCCCGTAGGGCCTGCCCTGCTG